ATCTAATTTCTCAGGGTCAGGTTGCACTTTCTGATAGGAAACAATATGGCCCAAGTATTGTATAGAGTTCTTGCCAATGAGACACTTGCTGCCCTTCAATTTAAAATGGTTTGAGAGCAGTAAGTCAAACGCAGTAGTGAGGTGCGTGATATGTGAATCCAATGTGGGGCTGTACACCAATATATCATCAAAGAAGACGATGATGAATTTACGTAAGAATGGGCGGAACAATTCATTCATCGTTGCCTGAAATGTGGAGGGTGCGTTGCACAGTCCAAAGGGCATTACACGGAATTCAAAATGACCATTGTGTGTGCGAAACGCGGTCTTGTGGGAGTCAGCAGGGAGCATCAAAATTTGATGAAAACCTGAAAGAAGGTCCAATTTGGAAAACCAAGTAGCAGTACCAAGTTCATCAAGGAGTTCATCAACTGTAGGGATTGGAAACTTATCCTTGATGGTAATGGAGTTGAGAGCCCTATAGTCAACACAGAAACGCCAGGTTCCATCTTTCTTTTTAACGAGAAGAACAGGGGAGGAAAAAGGGCTCTGGCTAGGGGTAATGAATCCAGATTCAAGCATTTTTTGAACTTGAAGCTCGATCTCTTGTTTTTGATAGTGGGGGTATCGGTATGGTCTGATGGAGACAGGGGTAGAATTTGGGTGGAGTTTGATAGCATGATCTGTGGGTCTGGAAGGGGGAAGAGCGGTGGGAGTGGAAAAAAGGGAAGAAAACTTAGAGATTAAGTTTTGTAGGGATTGCTCAGTGGAAGAAGGGATAGTAGTAGTGTGGTTAGGATCAGTAGTAGGTGTGTGGGAAAGGGAAGGCTCGAGGGTTAATTGGAATAAAGCCTCTAACCTATGTGTATCTTGAAGTTTCTGGAGTTGTTGGGCCGAAATAGGAGATGGAACCGGGCCTTGGTCTCCCTGAAATTCAACTAAGGAATTTTCCCACATAAACCTCATGAAAGGACCATTATAGTCCATTACAAATGGGCTCACCATAGATAACCAATGAACTCCCAAAACCACATCAGTACTAGATAATTGCAATGGATATAAATCAACAGGGAATTGATGCTGGGCCAAGGAAAGAGATACCTGAGGACAAAAACTGGAGCATGGCAAAAAGTGGGTATGCTCTGATATTGTGACATAGGGGCAGAGGATTTTTAGGACATAGATTTGATATGGCTTTGGAATTGTAAATATGATTTTGAAAATAATTTGTAAACTTTCAAGTTTTATTTTCAATTATTATGTTGGTTATTGATAAATGAATATGAAGGTTTTATGTGAACCTTTTTACCAAAGTTAAAAACTTTATTCTTTAAGTTTATTTATATGATTAATATTTATATGTGTTGGGGTAGTAAGGGTGTCACAACATCAGGACATTGAGTTATAGTTTCTATTTTTGTATCAAATTTCATAGTCTAGTTTTGTTAAAAATGTTTTGATTTTATTTTTGAATTTAAATTTTAGATGTTCTTTAGAGTATTAATTAAATACTTATCTATTTTTTTTTTTTACTTTTTATTTTTTAAGTTATGAAATATGTTGAGACAAATGAACGTGGTATCATTATATGTTTTAATAAAGTTTTTGAAAATAACATTCTTTTTAGGTTTAATTACCTGTTTGATATCCACAATTTCATAAACTTTACCTTATTTAGTTCCATAAAGTTTAAAAACATTCAATTATTTTTGTATAGACTAAAAAAAGTAAAGTTTATGAAACTATAAAAACTAAAAAAAAATTAAAAAAATATGTATGAAAACTAAAATGAAATATTTTAATTATAGGGACTAAATGGTAAAGCTCATGAAATTATAAAGACCAAAAAAGTAATTGAACCTTCATTTTATTTAAATCCCACCATGCATATGTATATTAAATGCATAAAGGACAGAGTGTTACATATTTTATAACTTTGATTTAGGGTAAAACAAAATGACTCAGATTAATTTCTATGATATACATGTGGTGCACATTTCATATTACGAAATTTCTTATACTACAATTTGATACTCACCTGAGGTGGGACTCCTAACTCCAAAAAAAGTGGCCCCATAACAAATCCTCCACCTATTCCCAGCAAGCCACCAACTATTCCAGCTAACACTCCAAAGATACAATACAACGTTAGCTGTTGGACATTAAAGTTTTTTTCTTGATCTCCCACTGAAGAAATTACTCTTTGTCCTTTATATAAGGAAATTGCCTCATATCCAGATACCCCAATTGAAATTGGAATCTACATAACACAAAACATGTTTTAAACCAATTGCAAAGATATTGTATTATACTATATTTTCAAAACAAATAAGCATTTTTAAAATAAAATATTTTTAAAAACTATTTAAGATTCGTTTGGAAGAGTTTTTTTAAAATTTATTTGAACTTATCTTAGGACATGAAAATTTTCCTAAGTGTTTAGAAAAACATATAAAAATAATTCATAATATGTTTATAAACTATTTTTAGTTTATTTCAATAAGATTTTCAAAATAGTTTATGAAAATAACCTAATCCATTTTTTTTTTTCAATTATAGAAATAACTTATATATGTGTTCTTATAAGTATTTATTCAATAACAATTTGATTGAGTTTTTACATAATCAAACTTTTAATTACAATTTCTAAAATTTTACTTACGATGAAAAAGATTTTTAATTACTTTGATGATTTTTTAAACAATATAAGATTTTTTTAGAGCAACTTTTAAAGTTTTTCATCACAAGATTATAATATGTTACAAACACTAAATTTCAAGAGAAAGCAAAAGGGTGTTGATTTTGAACCCTTTTTTGGCCAGAAATACCTGCAACATGTTTAGTACCCAATATGCTGTTGAACATTTGGTCGTCTCATTCTGTTGCCGTTGACAATAGAACATGTTTAGGAATCAAATTAGAGAGATTTCATGGTACATACTAATATATTGTAGAACATGTTAAATATATAACAAACCATGACAATTTGTATTGCGAGAAATGCAACCCAAACAAAAATAAGAAGTCCAAACTCCTTCCAATACACATTTTCAAGCATAGTCACCTGCAATGTCTATAATTAATTAGATATGAAAATCATTTTACATACTTATAAGTACAAACTAGAGTATAATGACCTCATCTCTTTTGGTTTCCTTTGCAATGTTATCAGGTCCACTAGGAATTGATTTGTATTCTACTTCGTTCCTAACACCTGTCAAATGGAGAACTATGAACACTTTGACAACAAAAAAGAAAATGATCTAGGAAAAATTTATTATGTTTTGTTAAATGTAAGGAATAGTTTCTTAACTCACCATTTGACTCTTGTTGCCTAGCAGCTTCCTATTATGAAACAAGAGAGGTTGAGATACTAAGCAATAATCTTTTTGTGTATATTCACAACTACTTAATAAACAATGATTGATATATTAGGAAAACATCATAAATGGGCTCTCATAGTCAATTTGAAGACATGAAGAATAAAAACACACTAAATATATATAAATAAATAAAAACATTACTTTCTTGTTAAATTTAATGGGTTCCTTTATTTGAATTTGTAATTTTGATGATTACATATACTTAAAACTCACATATATATATACCAATTAATTGCAAGTTTTTTTTTTTAAAATAGATTATAATCGTAATTTCAATTGTAATGTCATGATTTTTAGAGTCATTATGATTATAATTATAGTCACATCAACCACAATTATCTAAAATTTCTCGTAGACCATAACGAAATTGTAATCCCAACTGCACTTTAAGACCTTAATTTAAATGTTACCACTTTCATTATGGTTTCCTTTTTCCATGTTTCAACACCTTTAAAGAATGCCTTTGTAGATGTTCCTACAAACCAACAAGATGAGTCAAAGGTGTAACAAAAAAAAAAAAAGACTAAACAACGCCACAATTAAGCAAATCCATATTACCTAAAAAAAGAACAAGTAGCAACATGGTGACCATCCAATCAGCAACTACAACATTGAAAGCCACTCCAATGCTAATGCCAAGCATGAGCATTGGTTGAATGAGCAATGCCAAATCATAGTCGATGATGGGCATATCCAATGTGGGATGCCTTAGATTAAGATTGTAGTAAACAGTTGATAAGGCTGAACCCATGATCATACCTGTAACAAATAAAACACCTAATGATTCAAAGGTAGCGGGGAGTGGGGATTCACTCTTTTATCTTATTACATATCACATTACATTCATCGTTTTTCTTTAAATCTCTCTTTTTGATCAATGTGTAGTTCAAGGAGTGTAAAAGTATCTTTTATGAGTGTCATAGAATACTTAGTTTTTATTTGCTTTTGGACATTAGGAAAAAATATATTAGAATAAATTTTTGTAAGTTACATCGACTAAACATTGTATAGGAGGATGAAATATAATCAAACATAAATGTGTCCATTTAAATTATTCGATATATTTAAAACTAATGAAATTTGATTTTATTTCTTATAAAATATATTTTTTATTATAATTTTCATCCTTCAAAATCTTAAATCACTGTTTTTCATTTTTGCCTTTGACGATCTTTTTAGGATAAATAATAATATTCATTTTATGTATCTAAACAAAATTAGAGGTGTCATATGTTGACACGACACTATGAACATGATACAAATATTAAAGCTGTCTTGATATAGTCGCTTAACTTTTTGTCAAGCACATGCACTAATGAGTGATAAGTGACAAAGTTCAACATATTTAATTTAAAGGATAAAAAAAATCACAAATATTAAAATCAAAATTTATTATTTTATAGAAACTAAAAATATTTGAGGCAAAATATAAATGGTTTAGATTTACTGAAAAACAAGTTTTAATATAAATTGTAACAAATAAATTTAAGAATATAAATAATTATATTTTTAAGATGAATATCAAATTATAATATAAAATAATTAAGAGTAATTAGCTTTGAAATCTTAGGGTTTATAGTGCAACAATTTCATATTTATTATGTGCTGTGTTGCACAATTCATTCATGTTGAACAGGAAAAATAGATTGGTTACATAAGTTATAGTCATCATTTTGGAGTTCCAACTAAAAAGGACAAGTGTTAACTTGCATAGCCTTATTCTTGTCCTTCATAGTGGTCTCTTTTGTCTAATGTAATTTTCTTTTTTGTATTCTCTTACAATTTTTTTTGGAAGATGCATTAATTATAAAAGTAGGGGATCTTATTAATTTTATTCCTTAGTTTAACGTTATCACGTATTCTTTCTTACACATTTTGTATCTCTTCAATGAAATCTTTTGATTAAAAAAAACTCTAAAATCTTAAAATTGGAAAAAATAATATAATAAAAATTTTGGAAGCAATTTATAATTTGAGAATTTTAAAATATTAAATGATATAAAATTATGTGCAAAATAATAATAGCCATGATCATATAAATATTTTGACAAAAATTATTAACGAAATCGATAAATAATCTGTAACAACTTGTCGTCAAAATAAATGTTAAGTAATAGAAATATTATATATATATATATATATATATATATATATATATATATGTGTGTGTGTGTGTGTTTAGCTTAAATTTTACATAAAATAATACATCAATAAATAAATTTTGATTTCTATAAAGAGTTTGTGATGGAATTATTATATAAAATTATTTTAAATTATCAGTGAATAGACTATTTATTTATAAATAAATATCTAATATAGAAAAAAAAAAACAAAAACATAGCTAGAGGTGATAAAATGAATTACCTAGATAAGTTAAAGTAAGAAAAGCAAGTTCTTAAGGCTACAATTTGTCAGTAACTTGAACCATCAAAATAGGCTAATACCTTTTCAAGTTGCTCGGATATGATTTTGAAATTCAGTATAAGCCGGGGAAATCGAACACAGCTGCTGATTCTCTCTCCCGCATGGCCACAGATGAGTGCTCATTCCTTGTTCTTTCCATTCCTCATTTGGATTTTATGGACGCTCTTAAACTGTCCCTTGCTTCTAATGAGGAATACCAGGATCTGAGGACACAGATAACTGCTTCCCCATCTGATTACCCAGATTACTCGATTCATTCAGATTTTATCATCTTTAAGGAACGGCTTTGGCTACCATCTTCATGCCCCTTTATTCCTTTGTTACTCCATGAATTTCACTCATCTCCAATTGCGGGTCATACAGGTGTCGCACGCACCCTTGGCCGACTTCAAGCCAGTTTCTTTTGGAAGACAATACACAAGGATGTCCAGAATTATGTAGCATGCTGCTCTGTTTGCCAACAGACTAAAATTCCTACCCAACGCACTCCGGGACTACTACATCCAATTCCACCTCCTTCTCGTTGTTGGGAGGACCTTTCACTTGATTTTATTGTGGGACTTCCCCCTTACAAGGGGTTTACCACCATCCTTGTTGTGGTGGATC